TCCTCTCCTGGGCAGGGGAGCTGGACAGCACTGTCGCAGGAAGGGGGGACTTTGTTGGCAAGCTGTGGCTTTGCATAGAGGCATGGTGGAGGTGAGTGGTTGTCTCACCTTGCACCAGAAGTGTGCTGATAGAGCATGGCAGCTGCAGGCTCCCAGTGCAGTGCTCTGCCTTTGGCTCCCTAGAGCATGCCCTGGGCTCGCCAAGCTGTAGTGCAGCAGAGCCCGACCTTGCAGGCAGTCCCTGAGTGCCTCCAGGCACAGTCTGCTTGTTGGAGGGGCTGGGGCTGGGCCCTACTCGGTGTGTGGATGTTGTGTTTGTGTCAGCGTGTCCCGGGCTAGTCGCTACTCATGCCGGTTGGGTAGTGGGAGCTTTCAGTAGCTCACGGTTTTGGGGCCAGGGAGAGCGTGTTGCATTGGAGCAGCCTGGAGGAGGTGCAGAGCCACGGGGTGCTCTGGTGAACAGGGTTTGGCCCTTGAGCACCTGCCTGCTGCCGATGGAAGGGGCGTCTGAGCTCTGCTGATGTGTCTTGGAGGCCCCAGGGCCGCACACTGACAGCTGGGGGCAATACATGGAAGGACATCCCTACCTGCTGTCCCAGCACCAATATGGCCATGTGATTTGCCTCTAGGACAGCCATGGGCATGTCCCCGCACCTGCCTATGGTGCGTGTGTGTGAATGAGCCTGTGGCCCCATGTGCTTTCCCGGGCTCAGTGTCAGTGTTAGGCAGGAGCGGGGATGAAACTGTCTTGTGGCCCTGTGGGGGAGGGGGAAGATCTGCTGGCTGGGCTTCTCCGGGATCTGCTCCGGGGGGCCACCGATCGCCGCGGCGGGGGGCCGACACAGCAGCCCTTCCCTGGCACTTGCTACGCTGGAGGCCGTTGATAAGGGCAGTGGCATCGGCATGTCTCTGCCTAACCTACTGACCCAACTTGACCCACTGTCCCTACATCACGTAGCGCGTTAGACTGTAAGGCCTCGTACAAGTGTGACCAGCCCTGCACTGGAGCTGGAGACGCCGCCAGTGCAGAAAGCCAGCAGTGCTCGAGGCAGCGTCGGGGAAGGGGCGTAGTGGACCAGGCCAGCCCTCCGCAGAAGGAGCCTTGTTGCAGCGGGCCAGAGCCAAGGCCACTGCCCTGCTGCCAGCTCCCTGCCCCGCAGCAATTGTCTGCTTCTCCTTTTTGTTCTGTGCCCAAACCCAGCAAGCCACCTGGGCCCCTGCCACAGTTGCGGAGGCTTGGAGAGCTCCGTGTCAGTGGGTTTGTGGCAGGACCATTGCTGGCAGGGCCGATCTAAGCTCCTTTTGCTAGCACAGCAAGCCAGTGGCCAGTCTGGTCCCTGCCCCTGCCCCTGCCCCTGAGATTGCCATGGCAGCTCCGGGAGCTGTTATGCTCCCACAGCCACTGTCAGGTGCCCATGCTAAGCTCTGCCTCTCGGAGCTGGGCTCGTTCCCTCTTCCTGATGCTTGTTATTAATTTAGCTATGCCTCGGTCCTTTGCTGCCTCACGGGATCCAACCAGCTAGCCTGAGGTCAGGGTTAGGAACTGGAGCCTGCCCTGCTAGTGAGGACAGGTTGCTGTGATGGCGATGGGCGAGGGACGCTGCTGACAACCCAACCGGTCATCTCTGCTTGTAGCCGTGCGTGTAGCTGCCCAGGCATCTCTGGGAGATGCGAGTCCTTATGCAGTTACTGGTGCCCAGGGGGAAGCAGTCTCTTCCCCCTTCCTGAAGTCCTGGGAGGTGCTGCTGCCCGGCGGGCCCGTGGAGGATGCCACTTGCATCCATTGGGGAAACGCAGGCCTTGGAAGGCATCACAGAGATGCGCTGCGGCGATGGCAGGCCCGAGAGGCACGGCTACAATCTGCGGCACCAGCCTCGCCCTCAGAGGATTGTGGGGCACATGGGTCCTGTCGCGTCTCTTCCCACACGATCCCCTGCAGACCTCTGCCGGGACGCTCTCGGCATCCCAGTACCAAGTCACCGCAGCTCCGGAGCCTGCCGAGTGCCCGTGCTTGGCAACGACCTGACTGCATCGGGCTGATTGCCTGATGTCTGTCACTAACAGCGGTGAGCAAAGTGTGTGGAATCTTTAAGTCTTTAACAAATCTCTCATTAATCCCAGCTAAGTAGATTAAAGCTTACTACAGGCTTTAAGAGGAGGCAAGCTGCTCACTCATAGGGCACTGACAGCATATGTGGGGAAGGAAAAGTCAAGCAGGGTGGCTTGGACCTTGTAATTCCTTTGCTCTAGCATGAGGTGGGAGTGAGGAGAAAATGTTCCCCTGGATGTGGGGGTCAAGTGGAAGCAGATGCATGTGGAGATAGCACCTGCTTTGGCTTGGCATCAAAGTGCCCCTGAAGCCCCTTGGGCCACTAGTCTGCACTGCTGGTACCAGGGACTCGCGCAGGCTCCATGCACCCGACCCCTTAGCAGGCACAGAGCAATGCTAGGGTCCCCGTGAGCCTCGGGCCCAGCACGCTCCGAGGGCTGCTGTTGCTCAGGAGGATGCCGGCTCTCCAGAGGCCCCCATAGCATCTTCAAGGCACAAGCCAGGCTCAGCATGATGCACAGGCCCTGAATTTCGGAAGGCCTGAGCACAGGTATTAGCTCATGCTGCACCTCAGGCCTGCTTACTTGCACGTGGTGTAATGGTGCTACCTATGGATAGACGAACATGGAAGGACTGGAAATCCGGAAGCAGGGTGGGGGACAGCCATTTGCTGAGACTCCTCAGGCTGGACCTGCCAGTGCCGTGCCGCGGGTGCCTGGACAGCAGCAATGCAGCTTGCTCCCGAGACCCCGGGTGACGAGCTGTGCGGGAGACGGCGAGTGGGTTCACTGAGCTGGTCACACGGCAGGAGCAAGACTCGTTTTGCAGGGGGGGGTCTTGTGACCATGTGCAGCCCAACTGAAGAGCGCTGGCAGGCAGAGCTCCACGTGAGCAGAGCCCCAGGCAGCGAGGGCCCCGCATGCTGTCTGGCTGCGTGTCTCCTGTATTCCCAGGGTCAGGCCCTCCGTTTCCTGGCTTTGCTGTGACCCCCGAGAGGTCCCTGTGCCTGGGGAGCAGGGGGGCTGGGGGCTGCACTCTGCCTCGCGAAGGGCAGGGGAGGGGGGGATGACAACCGCACTAAGGCTCACCGGGCCTCTACTCCCCACCTGTTAGCAGAGGAGACAAGGCTTTAAAGCTGCGGCAGCAGTCCTTCCCTCAAAGCAGCGATGCTGCGTTTCAACAGCACGACCTTTCTCCAGCCACATCGGGGAATCAGCTGAAAAATGGCGGGGCTCCCCCGACTCCTTTGCTAATACAGTGAGTTGTTCGTATGGTCACCCTCAGGTGATCACAGGGCAGTGCAGCTAAATGCTGAGCTCTGCTCACCTTGTTCCCCAAGCACTCAGCTTCCTGCCCCTGCAAACTGCCTGAGGGTGCAGTAAGTAGGTTAATGCTTGCTTTAGGGTTAGCCTGAGGGTTGAAGTTCCCAGTAGGCAGAGCCGAGATCTGCTCATTCTGTGCGTGTGGAAGAGAGCAAGCGCGAGAGCTCGGGCACACGTGAAGCCTTCCAGGTGATTTCCTTCCCCCAGTGCTGTTGTGGAGGGTTGTTGCTTCATCACTGCCGCAGCAGCACAGTGCAGTGGACAGCTCCCGACCGACCGCATCCCACGCACGGGCTCGGGGCTGGTTGTGTTGTAACGGCATCTTGCTTGTGGGCTCTCTTCAGTGTTTGTCGCTCCTCGTACCCAGCTGTTGAGTCCCTCGCTGCAAACGAACACGTAGACAATGGAGTTCATGTCTCTGGCTGCGACTTGCTGACTGCACAGACAAGTGGGGAAATGGCTGCTGCTTTTCCCAGCCCTGCCTACCCACTGGATGCCCTCCTGGCTTCCTGCTAGCAGAGCGCCAGCCGTGCTTGACAGGCAGCACAGTCTGCCTGGGTGGGCACTGCATGGGGCCGCGGCTCCCGCGGCCCCGCTCTGCCTGCGCCCAGCACCAGCCGGGAAGCGCACCAGGAGTAGCCTCTGCGCGAGGAGGGACCGGCAGTGCTCCCCCGTGCTTGCTGGGCCGCAGTCTGCAGGGAAACCCAGGCACGTCCTGCTCCAGGGGGAGGTCACATCGTGCCCCTTCAGGTCACACCTCCCCAGCATCCCTCCGCTTGGCGCGCTGCCCTGCTGTGCCGCCACCCGTGTGCCTGTGCAGCCAGGCACCCCATCCCTTCAGGAGAGCCTGGCTCTGTGCACAGACCCCTCCTCTGACAGGCACATGGGCCTCTGGGAGCCGCTGTGGGCTCTGCCGCTCTCCTGACACTCCTCCTTCAGGGGAAACCCACTCATGAGGGCCAGAGGATGCCCCGTCTGCCTTGCCCCTTCCCCCATTTCTTGTCGGATGTGTATGATGTGCTCCCTCTGCCCCGTGGTGGGGGGCACTGCCTGAGCTCCTGCAAGGTGGTATCTCTGCTGTGCACTGTGCCTGAACGCCAGGGCAGGGTGTATGGGACTCCTCCGTGGCAGGATGTGCCCTGCCCCTCTTGGTCACTAGAAGGAGGCTCTGCCAGGCCAGGTGGGGGTGGATCCCAGATGGGGCTTTTCCTGACCCCGCTGCTGCAAGCAGCTGCATGTTGTAAAGCAGAAGGCTGCAGGACCAGCTCCTGTCAGGAGAGACTGGCGCAGGGGGTTGCAGACCGGAAGTGGGGACTCTGGAGATGTGAGCGGTGTCTGCTCAGGCATCACAGGGTTGGCATTCACAGGCTGTTCAGGGGCCGGAAGGGATCGTGACCAGCTTTGCATTGTGTTTTGTCAGCTGAATCCTGTGCGAGCCTGGAGTCCTGGGAAGGATGCCTCCTCGGTTACTGCGAGCTGGGCAAGCCCTTTCTTTCCAGGCTTGCTTGCTGAGGAGGCCCTGCAACCACCGGGTCCCTGGCCCTGGCACATCTCTGATTGCCACCTTTTCTCAGCTCCTCCTTCTGCCGGGGCCTTTGTTCACTAGTGTGTTGCATATGTTGTTTCAGCAACTCTTCATCAGGGCGAGGGATGGAGCAAGAGGACCTGGGAGCTCAGGTGGCCTCCAAAGGGCAGCTCATCCATCAGTTAAGTGTCCAGCGGAGGGAGGCGGCTCGCAGCCAGGAGGAGGCCAAAGCTGAGGTAGGTTCCACCGTGCTCGCAGGTCCCGTCTTGGCTTTGAACTACTGAGAGCCATGCAGCATTTCTGACAGCTGGACTGCGTGGGGGTGGCCAAAAGGTCTGGCTGTGAACTTGAGTGCAGGGCTGTACAGGCTCCCACTTCAGCCAGACTTTCTGGCCACTCAAGAAAACGCGGGTGGCGTCTCCTCATCATCACTGATGCTGGGAAGGATTGTCCCCAGGCTGCTGGGCTTTGCTGGCTGCTGCGCAGGGCAAAGAAAGAACTTTTTCCCTCCATGGTCCTATAGGTGTCTGGGTTTTTGCCTTCCTAAGAAGCACTGGGTGGAGCTGCAGCCAAGGCTGGGGACCTTGGTTGGGGTGTGCCAGTGCTCCTGCTGGGATTTAAAATCCCTCAGATCGCTGGTTGGGAGGGCGTGCTCCTCCACTCGGTGTCAGACTGATCGTCACATGTGGGGTCAGGAAGGAATCTCACCCCGATTAGATTGTCGTGCAAGGGAGGGAGGGGGTCCCCTTCCTCGGAGGCAGGCGGCATGGTCCTCTTCCCTGGATCTCGAGTGTATTTTAACCAATGACCTGTCCTTGCAGTGGCAGTATGTGACTGGCCTCATCTCCCTGCTTTACCTGTGGCAGGTTAAAGGCTGTTCTGGGTGTTTCAGACCTTGTGCCTGGTCGTTGTGTGTGAGGGTTGTCCCCAGAAAGAAAAAAAGGTTTGGATAGGGATGATCCTGCCTCAAGCAAGGGGCCCTATCCAGCCCTACTTGTCTGTGATTCTGTAATCTGCCCATCATGTCTTCCTCTGACCGTGAGTGATCCCGCCATGACCTAGCCTTTCTTCACGTTCCTGCCCAGCCTCACCCCAGCTCCTTGGCTCACTTTTCTGACTGCTCTTCTGTCCCAGACCCTGCTCTCCCCTTGGCTCTGGGCCGCCAGTGCTTGATCATGACACTCCACATCCATCCACATGTTCCCTTCCTGAGCATCCCCCACCCAGGTCTGGTACATCCATGCTTGCCCTCTATCAAACATAGAAATGCACCTTGAGCGTGTGTCTGCACGTGCTTGTGTTAGTGATCATAGATGTTAGGGTCGGAAGGGGCCTCAATAGATCATCGAGTCCGACCTCCTGCATAAGCAGGAAAGAATGCTGGGTCTAGATGACCCCAGCTAGATACTCATCTAACCTCCTCTTGAAGACCCCCAGGGTAGGGGAGAGCACCACCTCCCTTGGGAGCCCGTTCCAGACCTTGGCCACTCGAACTGTGAAGAACCTTTGTTCTGAAGTGTCATCTTCTGTGCAAGGCCTGACCCCAGCTAGATGCATATCCAATCTCCTCTTGAAGACCCCCAGGGTAGGGGAGAGCACCACCTCCCTTGGGAGCCCGTTCCAGACCTTGGCCACTCGAACTGTGAAGAACCTTTGTTCTGAAGTGTCATCTTCTGTGCAAGGCCTCTGCTGCTTGCCCTGGGCTCTGCGCTTGGCACCAGCTACTGTGCTGAGCTCACCTCCCTTATTTCATGACAGTGTAACCAAGCTGCAATAATACTTGCTCCCCAGGAAAACCAGGCTGCCTCCTCCTTGCCATAGCTTTCTGTGGGAAAGCCACTCTCTACAGCCCACTGAGACCCTGCCCTGTGTTGCCATCACGCAAAAGTGAAAGCCACACGTGTGGGCAGAGGTCATTCCAAACATGTTGTCAGCCCCATATGACAGCAATGCAGGGAGAGAGCAGCCTCGTCCCTTGGATTCCCTAGAGGAGAAATGTTACCATTTGCTCGATGGTATCAAGCTCCTTCAGCACTTGGGCGGTGCAGCATTGTGCACCTGGGAGTGTGGGAGAGAAGACCGCCGTTCCCTGGAGCGGTGGGAACTGCGTGAGGCAGAGTGCTTGCCGAGCAAGAGCTGCTCCTCGGGCACTGCAGCCAGCTGCTGTTCCCTCCAGACCCAGGAAGAGCACTGCTGATCAGACCAGCCACCTCCGAGGAAAGGCACACTGTTCGCATTAGATGTCTTGCAGTGCAGGAGCCCCGTGTGCACCAAAGCACGGTGCATGGACACGAGGTTGACACTGGGCGCTCTGAACAACCATTGGGTGCAAAGAGAAAAGGAACAATGCTGTGACTCTCCTAGGGATGACAGTGACGGGGATTTGCTGCCATGTGGAGCTCTTGTGATGACAGCGCATGCTAGCCATCTCCGAGGCCAGCAGCCTGGAGGCAGGAAGCAGAAGAAAGTGAATAAAGTCCGCTTGCTCAAGTGACTGGAGTTGTTCACAGGCCCATGGAGCCAGCAGAAGCACAGTTAGCCCTGCAGCCTGCGATAGCTTCGTCTCTGGAGCCCCTGGCTGCTGCCATCTCTTGCACTGGATTGATGGGTTGCCTAGTCGCACCTCTGGTGTGCAGCCTCTCCCCAGTGAGACTGCCGTTGCTGTAAATGGAGACAGTGATGCAGCTTTTAGAGGAGGTAGATGAGCCGGAAAGGTGCTAACAGGGTACAGATGCAATGCGGGTGGAAGGGTGTGGGATGGCTGAGGCGTGGGGGGTCGTGTGTCCATCCAGGTGCGCAGGGGCTGATAGCAGGGGCTGCAGGGTCCTTGCCTGGTTTATGCTATGTTAAGCTGCCTTAGCTGAAGATGCATCTTGAAACCAAATAAGCAAAACTGCAGAAACTTGTGCGATGCCCTCACTTTGTACACAGACTTGGTGCGATGCTTTTGCTCTGATTTAACAGACGTGTCAGTCATGCGTAGCCTGCAATAAGTATGTCTACCTAAGTCCAGTGAGATTGCTTTTAAAGTGGTTTAAAATGGTTTTAGGTGATCACTTCAGTTATGGCCTCAATCTCACCTCCACTGCCCGCATGCTCTTCCCTGCACCCCTTTGTCTGCCCGGGCCTCTCCTTCCTCATGGCATCTCCATGGTTTCCTGTCCCTCTCCTCTCCCTCCTCCATTTGCAGGTTCCTCGCTGGCTCTCGTTTTCTGCCCAGGTTGCACTGAGGCAGACCCTAGGTAAAATGCAGAGGGCACTGGCTGTGAGCAGGAGGGGCAGGGGGTCTGACACCGCTTCTACACACTTCCCACAGGACCCAGGATTGCCGACTAGCAGCTTCCCCCCCCCGTGGTCAGCCAACAGCTCAGCCCCTGGCTGAGGGTGCCTCTGGCCCCTGGCAGCAGGCAGTTCCTCTGTACAGACCAGCCACTGCTGCTGGTTGCTGCCCTTGCTCCTACTGGTGGGGCCTGTGCAGTCGGTCTGAAACATCTGACTTGCTGACACAATGCGTGGGAAAGCTGCATGGGGCGGCGGCGGCATGTTGGCTTGCTTTGTGGAAAGTGCATAATGCCTGAGCAGTCCCAGCTCTGCCCTCTTGGGCACACGTGCACGATACAGCACAGCCGACGGAGGCATCATCATAGCGGTTTTCCACGGGATCCTGCCCCCGTCAGGGCACAGGTGGGTCTTGCTCTGGGGCTGTGTCATGAAGCAGGTGGCTCTCTGCAGGGCCCTGGCCTTGACATTGGAAGCCATGGAGGGCGTGACAGGGGGCCTCCCGGGGCCGGTCTCCACAGCCCGGCCCTTGTCTGGTGGGCAACCACCCGCTTGTCTCGCCCACCACGCCTTTGATGATAATTAGCTCAATTAAGATGTTAATCAAGCAGGAGGCTACCCATTGTAATGCCCCGATGCCAGGGGCGCTCTCTGCGGCTCCGACCTCCCCCAATACCGCAGCCCAAGCCTCGCAGATGGCACCTCGGTGTTCATCTCTTCCGGCCCCCACGCTGGGCCCCAGAATCTTCTAAACAGGACCCCTCTATGATCCCTCCTGATCAGGCGGCCTCTCCGCCTTCATCCGGGCTACTAGCCCCCCAAAGCCCTTTTCCCCTCTCGGGTGTGGTCCCCCCCAGGACCTCCGGCTACTAGCCTTGGCCCACCTCCAGGCCAGTCAGGACCCCAGGCCCCCGGCTCTTGGGCCG